ATGTGGGTGTGTGCTACGAGAGATATTTTACCCACACCCTCACCAGTAGTTGTTTAGATTTTGAGAAAAAAAAATAGTTTTTCTTTTTTTTCAGTATTTATCATATTATCTATTTTATCGATATGATTGAGCAGATTTGGTCGATTTTAGATACGTGAATAAATGTCGCTTTTATACAGGTGGAACAGCACCATTAATTCTAAGTGTATTTCATCTAAATCCATTCTTTGATGATAATCAATGGTTGGAAAGAGATATCAATGATAATTTTGTACATGTAAAACAATAATAAAAATTTGTTCTTTCGTTCTTCTAATAGTTATTTTATTGAAAATTAAATAAATAAAAACGTATTATTTACATCTATTCATCATCTATATCACTAGACATATCATACAATTGTTCTTTTACTAACCATTGTTTATCTTTCATACTAATTTTTTTCTTTGACTGAATATAAACTACTTTTATTCCTCCTCGTTGAAGATCTCCTGTTGCTGCACATCGATGTCCTTCTAAACTTAATGTCGATCTCGCTTGTTGTTTGCGTAATATCGCTTCTGTTTGTCCATATCTGGTTGATCGTCGTCGTACTAATTCATCACCAGATAGTGTAAATGCTCGTGCACGTCTTGTATCACTATTAAAATCAATTTGTTTCACAGGTATTGATCGTCTTTCTATTCGATTGAATAAAATTTGTTTAAATTTATTTTCTTCTTTTTGTTGTTTACGAACTGATTTTTCCCATAAAGATTTTAATTTTTGAGTAATATCATCAGTATTAACATTGATTTTCATTGGTTTTACTCGAATTTCTACAACAGGATTTTGTGTTAAACTAATTGCAGTTGTTTTCGTTAAAATTTTCAATTGAACATGATTTGTTTTTTGAAATTCTTTAAGATTAACACCATTTTTACCAATAAAACGACCAATCACAGCTGCTGAACTTGTCATAAGTTTGATAGTGAAGGGAATTGGTTTTTTCACTATAACCTTCGTTTGTTGTTTTGTTTCAACAATTTTCTTCTCTTGACAATGTTTATTGTGAATATGTTCATCTAATATATTTTTACTAATAAATGCTTTAAGTCGTGAACATCCAGCAATTGGACACATTAAAACACGATGTCTAATATTAATTGCTTCATGTTCGGTTCCATCTGTATGTTGAATGATATCAAAATCAAATAATTCACCAAGAAATGTTAAATCTTCTTTCGTAACGTAACGTTTCGAATTCGTTTTTAAATTAAAAACATGAAATTTTAAACGTCGTTCATTCGTTGTTTGACTATTTGTTTGAGTTTGAATATAACCATAATTTGTTTCTTTATTGAATTCAGTAATAAAACCAGATGAAGAAACCATTCGATTGTCGGAATGATTTCAACACAATGATATAAAACAAGAAAACAATTGCTTTCCTTTATATAGTTTGTATTCTTACACAACAGTTGAGTCAGAGCAAGATAATGAAATGTTTCATCTCTTCTCAGAAAGAATGGTGCAATGACACGTGGCCTATGAGTCATATATCGTCGTAAAATATTTCTCGACAAGATTCATTTTCATCTAAACAAACTTTTAGCAGGTATGTAAAGGCTATGACAAAAAATTCTTTTACTAAAAGGTGAGATATAGTATTATTCTTCGTAACTTTCGGAATCAAAGTTTTGCTGGATAAATTCAGATTTTAACTTTTGTATTTCTAATGTGTTTAAAGTCAATATTTTTGATTTTAGATAAGATTTTAATGCATTCGAATATTCAAATACGAAATTTATTAACTGATACAGATTTAGTTTGCTTTGTGGTTTGTTCGTTATTTACAAAAGAAGAATGTGAACAATTATTAAATTCCGAGAGAAAAAACTCTTTTCAGAAAGCTATATTCAATTATCCAACATATTATCGTAATAATGAACGACTTGTAATTGATGATCCGAAATTATCTTCGTATTTATTTGAAAAAGTTAAATCTTATTTACCAAATCAAATCGAAACTAAATCGGAAAATGAAATTTGGACTTTAACTGAATTAAATAATCGTTTAAGATTCTGTAAATACAATGCAAATCAATATTTTCATCGCCATCTCGATGGAATTCATTATGTTTCTAAAAGAAAACAATCAAAATTAACATTTATGATTTATTTAAATAATGCAAATGAATTTGAAGGAGGTAGAACTTTATTCTACAAGACAAAAGATTCAATTGATATATGGGCAAGTTATATTCCTCAACAAGGTGATTTAATGATATTTGATCATAATCTATGGCATGAAGGAGAAGAAGTTATAAGTGGTGAAAAGTTTGTTTTAAGAAGTGATATTTTATATACAAAAGATTCAGATGATGATATTAAAGGAATATTTTGTGGACATTTGGGTTATATTTGGAAAATATTAATGTTTGATAATGAAACTTTATTAAGTGCTGGACGAGATAAAACGATTCATATTTGGAATATTAACGGAGATATTGGTCAAATTTTAACAGGACATCGAAATTCAATTTTATGTATGGAAAAACTCAATGAAACTACTTTTCTTTCAGGTTCACGAGATAAACAAATTAAAGTTTGGCAAAGAAATGAAAATCAAATCTTTCAATTAGTTAATTCATTTCCTATGCATACAGCAACTGTATTATCGTTATGTAAACTTACTAATGATTTATTTGCTTCAAGTGGAGCGGATAATTCAATAAAAATAGTTAATATTAATGGACAAATTCAGTATGAATTAATTGAACATACAAATTGGGTTTGGCAAGTCATCAAATTAACAGATCATTACATTGCATCCTGTTCGGAAGATAATACGATTAAAATTTGGGATTATCTAAATGAAAAGTGTATAAAAACGTTTACTGAACATTGTCCAGTGATTTGTTTAACCTATGATAATATAACAAATACATTGATAAGTGGAGATCTCAATGGCGAAATTGTTATCAGAAAATTATCAAATGATTTTAATGAAATAAGTTCAAGAAAAATTATCGGACATAATGGAATTGTAAGAACAGTTTTAAAATTGAATGAAAAACTTCTTGCAAGTGGTGGAGAAGATAATAAAATTAAAATTTGGAACATTCAAAATGGATCTTGTATTAAAGAATTTCAACATGAAAATTTTGTACAATCATTAGTATTCACAAATGATAATAAATTATTAAGTGCATCTTATGATGGAACAATAAAAGTATGGACTATATAAATATCAAAGACAAAAGAAAAACAATTTTCATTGTAATAATAAAACTATAGTAAATCACGACATCTCAGTGTTTATAGAACGCAATACTCAGAGATTTGATGTCAATGTAATTCTAGTCGGTCTGTTTTCTTAACAGGAGACATTTTTAGAAAGCTGTTACACTCGAAAGAAAGGCGATAAATATGTAATGAACATTCATACATGATTAATGAAGACAATATCCACACCTACTCACAACCAATTCATATAGATATCTCTGGTACTTTTTTGTGTTTCGTTTTTATAAGCCACCTATAAATTTATGAAGGAACAGAATGCTTTTTTGAGAAATTTCGATATTTTAAAGAACATTCGAATTCCACAGTAATTCGTTTCTCTCTCACCTGATTCTTATCTTAATACGCATCAAATTAAAATCTATTGAAATTCTTTCAAAACCTTTCAATTACTGATGTAGATATTGATTGTCAGAATACTTTAACACACGTTCTATTCGAAAAATGTATGTGAAATATGACGTTAGTAAATACTTACACAATGCATTAAAATCTTTACTCTTGTTATAATAACAAATATTAGAGAGGACTCCACCAGGAAAAATAATTTTTGATTCAGTATTACTAAAATTTGCCAACATCTCATTGGTTGAAGTATTTTATATTTGACTATAGATATCATACACCAACATTGTTTTTTAACAAGCGAACGTCATATAATTCTTTTTCTTTTTCTGTTTGTCTATGATGTTGTGATGACGTAAATATCGGTATCAAACCCTGCGTACATTTTCTCCTTAAATATATAAATAGTAGAGGAAAGAAAAAGTCTTTATTATTGATTTATAAATTTTACCTTTTAAACATTTTTGATATTGTCTTTTTCGACTATTAAAATAATGGCTGTTGCTCCAAGAAGTTCACGTTCAGTTTATATTTCAATGCTTACAAGTATGTGAAATTTTTTATTTGAAATTAAATTTCTATTCTATTATTTTAGATGGATGTTGTCATACAGGTTTTGATTCAACTTATCCTAATAAATTACACGGAATAATTAATGATGAAGAATTTCAACAATCACTTGATAATGTTAATAAATCAATTCATTCAATAATATTAATAATCATGTGTATTATTTTACCATTTCTATGTATATTCGGTGGTGGAGGAGTGTTGATTACTGGTGCAGTAATGTCTAAAGATTCTAATACAAATACATCTGTTTTATTACTTGCCATTGGAGGAGGAATTCTTGGTTTTGGATTGATTTCATTAATTATTGGACATTTTATTACGCAGGCAATACGGACACGTCAAATGCGACAAAAAGTAGCAGCAGAATCAGCAAAATATTCCAATAGATTACCAATACCATGTACATGGCGATTAGATGTTAGTACAATGATATTTAGAGGAGCTAAAGGTAATACATCAAGTAGACGAATTTATACGGTACGTTTTATTGATAATACTTAATATGATTAATTCTAAAAGTTTTTATTTTCAGTTAGTTATTACTATTGGAGATTGTGGTGCAGATTTTGGAAATGGAAATTTTTCAAAAGGATCTAATCAAATTTCACTTCAACCATCGTCGTCACAGTTTACACAACAGGATCCTTCACCAGTATATTATGATCATAAACTCACATCAAAATTCTGTTCTCAATGTGGAATGCCAAGACAAACTCAAATGGCAAAATTTTGTGTCCAATGTGGTCAATCATTTAACAGATAAAAAAAACATTTTTTAAAGAGATCTATACTTCGTGTCACATATTTCTTTCGAATGGGAGTGAGTGTGATCATTTTATACATGATCAATTTGGATCTATGTCTATTTTCTGCGTAAGAGATCAGTTCATATAAATATCTATCGATGATCTGTATGTTTCGTTTTTGTTAAAAAAAGTAATCAGCAAACATCAAGAATCAAATGCTTCTTTTTATCTTGAGGGTGTGGTTGTCTCCTCTTTAGCCATACCCATCCACATTCACTCTCGGGATATAAGGAACTACTTTGATATAGCTTTTCATAAGTAACATATCCAGAAAAGAATGTTATGGGATCTATTATGAAAATGAGGATGAAGAGACAGCGTAGTTGTTGATTACAATGTTATGAGCAAAGCATACTACAACTTGTTTTATCTTCACTGTACTTTAAGGTTTGAGATAAGCGAAACTGACTATATTATTATCTAATATACAATTATTCAATATATTATTCTAGGATAAATTAATCTTTTGAACAAGCTGGTTTAAATGAAACTGATCCTATTTTTGTCAAAGAATTTGTTTTGGGTAGATTAAATAAATAAGCCAGTGATAAGATATGGCTATACAAAAGATAAGATATATCGAAATTAATTCTTTATAGAATCATCTTGAATAGACTAACAGACACACACGTTGATGAGTTTAATTATTTTTTTATAAGATTTATATTATTTGGTAGGGTGGTAGGCCTGCAGAATTCAGAATTTTGTATACTTATGCTCTATCAATCAGTCCATCAATTACGACGAAATAAAATAATGGTAAGAATTCTATTTCCTGAGCAGAACTTTAAATAAGTTGCAAAATTTTAAATTCTGCTTAGTAAGAATTTTGCAACTACTGGTAGGGTGTGGGTGTCGCTATGAGTTTTCTTTGGTGTCCACCTTCATACGCACCTACACCTACACCCACCCTGAAGATCTGGATAATTTAAATAATTTCTTCCAAAAGTCATCGTCTCTAGATTGTACGTATTTATGTTCGTTATCATTTTATTGACTTGTCATTGGTCTAATAATCTGTAACTACGTTAGTTCTGTATTGTTTATTACTTTACTAGTAGCACTATACTTTATTTCAATTGATTTTGAACAAAAGTCGCGCATAACAGGCAGGTTAAATTACAAGTATAAGTTGAACATGACTGGGTTCTAGCAGTATTCTATTGTACGTTCCTCATAATCATGAAATAAAAATACTTTTCTTTTGTTTTATAGTTCTATCATTTTATTTTTGAATATGAGTGTCATACTTTATAAAAGAAAAGATTTGCACATAAGAACGTAACCTTTAGTTCGACATTTGCATAAGCTAAAGTAAATATTAGCAACATATGCATTGTCAATATATAAATTTGATTTTAGCTGTCATTCTTTTAGTTTCTGTCGAACTTTAATAGTTAACATATGAAGAAATATTCGATACACTTTGTGTTTATCTTATTCTATTTATTAATCACGTTAGAAGCAGGTATATTACCGAAGCAAAACTACAAATCTTGGAATGAAAACAATAAATATCCATCCTCAACAAAACCATCAGTCGAAGGTTGTGACTATCATGACGAATACTATAATCATGGGGAACTATTCATGGATGATTGCAACTGGTGTAGGTGTGCAGATCAACAAGTCACATGTACGTTGATGTTTTGCCCTACAACAGTATCATACTGAAGCATATAAAATACATGATGATTAAACTATGTTTTTTTTTATTTCTTATTAATAACATACTTCTTGAAAATAAACGGTGTGTGATTGTGGGTGTACGTAACGAGTGAGAAATGAGGGTGAGAGTGAGGGTAGGTGTGGGTGTGGATGCGAATGAAGAAAAAAGTATACACCCACACCCTTTTACTTTCTCCAATCGTAGAATAAAGTTGTAACTCATTCATATAAATTGTTTTCATTCGAATGAATGGTAGATTCATTTTTGTCAAGAAATAAGATTACAAATATCCCATGATGACGACATGCGCCTAAACTAAGGTAGGTGAGAATAATGTTCGTATGCAGTAGATTTATTTTCACTAGACTCTCAAGATCGATGTTCATATGAAAACAAGACACGGATGAGTATGTGTTGAAAATCGTATAATGACTACGTTAGCGTTCAGTATCAGAATATGATACAATGATGATGAAGCTTTGACTTTGCTTTTTTTCTTATCTGAATACTACTCAAATAAAAACAAATCATTTCTCATAGATATTGACGAGGAGAACGAAAAAAATGTTCGCATCTGTTTCAGAGAAGTTGTTTCGCAATTCAACGAGTAGAAGAGAAACTTTTAAAAATTGACTATTATCAAAATATAGAAAATATATGAGGAGTTATTAGTATTAGCATTAGAATATTCAAGGTATGCTCTTATTTTTAAAAACTTTTTATTGAGTAATAAAGCGATAAGCGAAATCTGAAGGGCGGTGATCAAAAAAAATATCTTTTGTATTACATCGAAAATGGAAACAAAACAAAGACAGAACAAGAAGCGAAAGCTATAAGTATTGATAAATTAAATTTAGAATTTAATAAAATAAGAGAAAATTGTCAAGAGTGTTTCAAATTCAATGAAAATACGGTCAGTAATAGAATAACGTTATCGATAGAGTAATGAAATGTGAAGTTAGAATGTTTGAATGCAGTGGACGAAAATATTTCAGCTAGAAATGAGTACACTGACAGTGCCTCCAAAACAATTTGCAGTAATAATATCAGGTTTATTATCACCGTTCACATCGGCTACTGCTACTGCATATGTATCTATACCAACTGCATAATTAACACGAGGAGCGAAAGTACCATTGCCTCTGTTAATAAGTACACTGACACTGCCTCCAAAATAATTTGCGGTGATAATATCAGGTTTGTTATCACTGTTCACATCGACTACTGCTACTGATTGTGGATCCGTACCAACTGTATAATTAACTTGAGGAGCAAAAGTACCATTGCCTAAGTTTATAAGTACATTGGCACTGTCTCCAAAATAATCTACGGTGATAATATCAAGTTTATTATCACCGTTTACGTCGGCTACTGCTACTGCATATGGTTCTGTACCAACTTCATAAGTAGCTTGATTAAGAAACATTCCACTGGTAGCTGTAATGCAAAACAAAAATGTCTTTCATATTATATTTATCATCGTATTAGAATAATCTGTGATCTAAACAATCTTATCTCAATGAGAAATAAATGATTGTCATGATCATGCTATCCATATTATAACTCATTTCGATCATTTAAAGGACAACAGACAATACGTTCTTTTTTCAATGCTCTGCATTTCCATCAATTATAGAATACTATTAGCGAAACGAATTAACAAATATTTTCAAATGTCTCTCTATGTCAAGAGAACGTTTTAAGCTATTTGATCGAAGCTTTAGTGAAATATCAACATTTTTTGTTACTTTCATTCACGTCGTGAGAACACAAGAAAATTGTTGAACGGCAGCTATTTATGATGATAATTGTTTTACAAATAATAATAAAATCAGATGGAAGAATAGCTGAACAAGATTATCTGATTCTTATGTCATTCATATTCACAATCGTATGAGATAGTAAAAATATAATAGTGCTGCTGTAATCTCAAATGATACTTGCGACTTTCACTCTCATAGCACGAATAAATAATGAAGGCGGAAAAAGATGAGACGACGAACGGCATTAATAGATATGCAACGACTAAAAACTTAAGTGCGCAATCTTGAAAAAGGCAAAACTTCAGACAGCTTCTTTTTAGTGTCAGTTACTGGTTAATTTATCGGACTTGATACTTCGTTTTTGTGTTCAAAAGAATTAGTATCGTATTCCTTACATTTAATTCTATACACATTCGTTATGTACTACTCAAATTCATCAGAGTTACTTTGATAATACAATAAACATAGAGTGTCGAAGAAAACCTTTTTGATGAGAACTGCTGATCATTATCGAAAATAGATTATATCCTACACACAATTAGTTTTGAATGGACTTTCTCAGACTAAATGACAGCTCATCGACTGAAAACTTCAAGAAATCCTACAAAGCACGTGATCTATGACTGACCGGCTGTTGTTATCGCTGTTGTCGATGATGATGTTACCGAGGAGGATGTCGTGGTTGTTGTTGTTGTTATCAATGTTGTGGATGATGACATTGACGCGGGTAATGTCGTTGTCGATGATGATGATGTTAACGAGGGTGATGTTGACGAGAATGATATCGTGGCTGTTGTTGTCATTGTTGTCGATGGTGACATTGACGAGGGTGATGTCGTTATTGTTGTTGTTGTCGCTGTTGACGATGGTGATGTTAACGAAGGTAATGTTGACGAGAATGATGTCGTGGTTATTGTTGTTGTTGTCAGTGTTGATGGTGATGATGATGTTGATGAGAATAATGTCGTCGTTATTGTTGTTGTCGCTATTGGCGATGATGATGTTAACGAGGGTGATGTTGACGAGAATGATGTCATGGCTGTTGTTGTCATTGTTGTCGATGGTGATGCTAACGAGGGTAATGTTGACGAGAATGATGTCGTGGTTGTTGTTGTTATTGTAGTTGATTCTTAACACAAGAGAGCAATATTATATATTTATGTAGAAAGGAGAGTGTTTGTGTATTCTATGTATCTTTGATTCCTGATAGATACAGAGTAATCGAGCTTTACATAGCATATTTTACTATCCAGTGGAAGGCTGAGATGACGTTGATTTGTGCGATGAGAATGAATAGGTAAGATTTTACTCAATTGTCGAGAATGGATGAAAAGAGATGTGAGTGTTATGTGCATATGTCTCTAGAAGAAATGTAATGATATTTTCGAAACTTAGCTTCATGATTTTCCTATATAGCCTTTCATTTTGTGATATCTTAAGTTGATTATATGAATTTTTTCTGGATACAACTGAATCCTAACATTATCTGAAATGTAACATGTTTCCTAACCTGATGGTAATCTTGTTTCACTGATGACTATCATCGAATAAGTGTCAGCATCAATGAATATATTGCTGTTTTGGTCTGAAATATTGTTAAACAGTTGACAAGTTAAAGTTGATTGATGAAAACTGGCTGCTTTACAAAGATTGTTTGATAAACAAGTCACTTGACAGATTTGAACGTTTCGGGCCGTCGTGGTGGTAAATGATGAGCAACTAACATTGGCACATTGAAACTGACGACCAGGTAGAAGAGTCATTGCAATTTGGTTCATATTTTCTGCAACTATTTGCCTGAAGAGCAAATTCAGAAAAAGAAGATAAACTGCTTTTCGAATCATCACTAACAAGACTGTTGACTAAATAAAATGACTTTCACTCAAAATGAAAGATAATGAAATGACAAAGCAATAAATACTACACAATATTTCTCTCTTTCTCTCACACTCTATGTCTTTTACTGCGCGACTCTTTTTATGCATAACCCACGTAAAAGTACGTTCAACTCTCTTTAGACAATAGAAGTTCCTTCCGATTTCATTTGAATATCAGGTTTTCATTTTTTTTAATTGTGTTTCCGATGACAGTAAAGTATTTCACAACAGATTTCTTGTTTGTATTACAAAAATAGCAACAAAAAAACATCGTAAATAAAAATTAAATTGATAGAAGAGATAAATATTAATAGAGACATAAAATGCTTCGCAGCACGTTCAACTAGAAACGAATTGCATTTTTATTTAAATCAGAAAACAATCTTGATTGTTTCTAGATGTAAGTGAGGTTAGTCTTGCAATTTAAAATATTTCATATTGACCTATTTTTCATCAAAGCGATGTTTTTGTGTCTCATTCTTCATTTGAAAAACATTTCATCATGTCAATCAACGAAATAGATGATAATTGTTTGTTTTCAAGTATTTCAGAAATGTTTTCTATTTTTTATTTCTATACTATATTAGTTTTTCCGCACTGTATTAACGTCAATTGATTTCATTTAAGTGCAAGAGTGAAGATATGCGGGAGGGTGTGGCTCTGTCTGAGTATGAATGAATGATTAAAAACTATTCATATAAATTTTCATCACTCTATGGTTTGATTTTGATTGAAAAATACCGTTTAACTCTCATGATATAATTAAATTTATATGTAAAACAATATTGACAATAATATGTGTCAATGAATTATTATATGCGCAAAAAAAAATTAACCAAATAAAATTCTTAGTTTTTTTTTAATGACTATTTAAAGAATGCTTCTCGGAAATAACAAGAAATGGAAAGAAAAAACAAACACTAATAGTTTTAGATTTTTCCCAGAAAATGACAAAAGAATTTAATTACACAAGAAAATCTTGTCCGTAATGAAATGAAGTGATGATGATGAATGAATAATCGGAGAAAAATCATCATATTTAATAAGGGTGTGGGTATGTGTATTCTTCTCATCCATTATCTATACATACACCTTTCGGTGTGGGTGCGCTTAAAATAAAATATCCACATTCACATTCATCCTTAGTTTTTCTTATTAATGAATATGATCGAAGAATTTTATATTGTTTAAAGCAGCGTGTGTTTAGCATTACAATTTCTATCTGAGTGATATGTAGTACAAAATAGTTCCATATTCTGATGTCTCGATCTTCAGATGATCGCTTTCCCAATGTTATCGACCCAATGAATAAAGTTTCTAAATATAGTTACTTGTGCACTTCTTGAAACTTATTCGTTATCTTTACAACTTAATCTACCTTGACTATGGATGTGGATCAAATTAGGATGTAAACTTAGTTATTTCTTTGTTCCTCGCTCGCCATCCTTTAATTGCATTCTAAAAATGACAGTTTTAGATGTCTGGAAAGCGTCGATATTGTATGGATGAGTTATAATGAGAGAATAAGTGAATGAATGATTATGTGGGTAATGTTGAACGTGTTGATAGAGTCGCAGTATACAAGTGAGAGTATGAATGGGTGTCGATATGTTTGATAATATAAGGATGTGTTAGCTGTTGTTGTTATTTTCTTTTCTCCACGAACATTCTTTCATGAGTAGCTTCATTGCTAATTATTCATTGACAAAGCCGTCATCTTTATGGACGATCAGTATAGAATTGTGTGGCTTATTAGACTTTGAGGTTGATGAGTAACTCATCTGTTTAGAAATTCTTGATTAGAATTAATTTCGTTTGTATACTATCGAACATGAATGTTTATTTTTCAATGATACTAATTAAAGAAATCATACGTAAAGAATATATAAATAGAGAGAAATTCAATTTCTATAATATATAAATAAGTAAAAGAGAAAGAAAATTAATATCATGCTGTCAGTTCCATAAATAAAAGATGTCAAATACACAAAGAATTTTTAATAAAAATTATATGTCTACAACATACAATTTTTTTTAAAATAAGAAATAACTAGAAGGGAATGAAAGAAAAAAAATTAATTATCAAAATAATAAAAGATAAAAATAGATGCGTTAGAGTAAAGAATATATAGAAATAAACTTCAAAGAAGTGTTGACGACATTTTTTGCTCTCGTTTTCTATAATAAAGAGGATTTAAAAGAGGATGTGTCACTTCACTTATTAGATTTTCTATTTTAATCATGGAACGACAGAGTAAATTTATTCTAATGGTTATTTTTGAAATTCCAGCAATTATTTTATCGATACTTATTTTTATTTACTTTATTTTCAATCGTCCTGCTCGATCAAAAGTGAAAAATCATGGATGGATTATCCTTTTAACTAATACTTTCTTTCAATTGATTTTGAATTTACCTATGCCAATGAGTTATTTTTATCTAAACTATATTTGGCCATCAACAAATGCATATTGTGTATGGTGGACATGGTGTGAATACTCTCTAAATACTATTGGATTATATCTAATGGCATGGATTTCTATTGAACGACATTTACTTATTTTTCATGAACATACAATATTTCAAGTACGATGGAAAAAATGGATCTTTCATTTTCTTCCCATTGCATTCTGTTTAACATGGGCACCCTTATTTTTTTTTCTCTTAGTTGTAATTAGTCCATTTTGTACAAATGTATGGATTTTTAATTTACCTCTTTGTGGTTTTCCATGTTATGGTGGAAATCAGGTTTTACATAAATTTGATTTTATCTTTAATGTTCTCTTTCCTATTTTAATCATTATGTTAGCAAATGTAACGTTAATTATTCGAGTTATCTATCAAAAGATGTCTCGACAACGTGTAATTAATTGGCGACGTCATTTAAAAATGATGTTACAATTATGGATTGTTTCATCACTCTATATGGGTTTGTGGTTACCTTTAATAATCACATTATTTATTGAAATGACTACACAACCATTATTTATGATTAATCAACTGGAGACAATGCAATTCGCTCCCTATTTTGTTCCGCTTTTCTTACCAATGGTATGTCTCACTACACAACCTGAACTCATAAGAAAAATCAAGAATTTCATTCAGCGGATACGACCAACGAACAGAGTTAGTGTCATAATTTACAATCGAAATATAGGAAGAACCATAACTATTAATACTGCTCGATGACATCAATATTCGCGTAAATATTTCAATGCTTTTGTACTTTACACTTTTGCTTTTGTTTACCTTCTAAGAAAAATAAATGAAATAAATCACTAAAAAGTAAATCTAATAGATATAATGACTAGAAGACCGGTGTTCTACATTCAAAATTATAATCTATTCTACATAAAATTCTTCCAAGTTTTGATATAAAACGCTAAACTATTTTTATTGAAACAACTATGGCCTACTTTTTTAATACGGAATATTAAAATCCTCTCTAGCTATTCAAAAGATAATTAATAAATGCACAAACACATAAAAATCTATGTTTTCAGGCGTGTAGAATATTAGTTTCAAATAACGTTTACATCTTCAAGAAAAATGTAAAACTTGACATTCTGATTTAAAAAAACTCGTATTTTAATCATAATTTATCCGATGATGTTTTTGATTCATGTCATATAAGGTGTTACACGTGTATAAACATTGGGTAAATTTTCACGACCTTTTGTATTACAATCATATATAAAACTAGCGATACTTGACACAGTGTATTCTCCTCTTTTTTTTTAATTAAATGAAATCCACCGCTATGACAAAAACATGCAGAACTACCATCAAATTCATTGCAAGACAAATTTGTCTCGGACTATCTGCTTTATCCCACCATAATTAATATAAAGATAGTCAATGTAATTTATATTAACATTATTATTAAAATATATCCTTGGAGAATTATTTTTACTGTGATAATATGAGTTAATATTGCGCAAGAATAAATCAAATAAACAAGATAGTTCTGTTATGAGAGCGCAAAGAATTCATTTATAAATTTCTAAGTTAACACAAACAGAATAGAAGATCTAATTATAATCGGCTGAGTTTTGGCAAAGGTACAATTATATTCAGTACTATTCAAATTCAAACATAGAGAAAGGTATCGATTGTTTTAGATTTATTTTTATAATAAAAGGGTGTAGGTGTCGGTGTGAGTAATGCATTGTCAAACTATTCACACCCACACCCTCAAGATGGTCCATGTTTAAAAGAGCTTAGAAACTAAGTTGATATATCTACTTGGAAAAATGCCGATGCAGGACTCTAAACAAAACAAACATAAATCATATTACACTTTCAGTTGACTAACAAATCAAAATGAGATAAAATCATTTAATTTTATTTTAATTAATTTTAATATAAGGTGGAGAAGTTAAATTTGTATCTGTAATACTATACATAGCCGCTTGTTTATATGAACATGGTGTTTCATGCCATAAATAACGAATACCATAAATAGATTTTCCTGTACATGCATTTCGAATTCTTAAAATAATTATTAAATGACTTTTATCTGAAATTGATAATGGTAACCAAGCATCATCATTCGTTGCACATATTTCACCTTGACAACAAATCTAAAATTCGAAAAATAATATTTATACAAGAAATATTAAAATAAATACTTGAAATCCATTTAAATTTCTAAAAGTAATATCTTGTACAGCAGTATATGTTATAGAAATTCGTTCTCTATCACTCGATACATTTATATTTGATACAATAGGACCTTGAAATTCAATTGAACGATTATAAGCAATAGCAAGACCTGATCGAGATAAACGATAAGCAACATCATATTTAGTTCATGGATGAATACTAGAGAAATTTAATAGATATTTTCTAATTTCGAAAGAAAAAAGCTAAAAACAAACTTATTTGGATCATCACGTAAATCTAAAGTAACAGCCATAAAAACATTTGGTATAATATTATTTGGTACATAACCAACATCAAATGTTTGATGCCAACGAATCCATGGAAATCCACCAACTATTTTACTATTATTTGTATTTGTTGATAACTAGAGAATAAAATAAACAAAATTTACTTGAACAAATCCAAATGGAAATTGAATATGAGTTATTGTATTAGTACGTTCATGCCATATTTCACGCCAAGATTGAATCATTTTTGAAAATGTACATGTATATTTATCACGATTATATTCAGAATTTGCTTCACTTATACATGTGAAAATATAATCTAATCTAATTTACCTTCATACCAAAGAACATCGTAGACAACCATACGTGTAAAAGGATAAATCATTGCATTATATAAAATTGAATTATTTAATGTTTCGTGGATTTGCAAAGGTTTATTATAATTTTGTAACGGAATTATTTCGTTTCTAATAATAATAATAATAATTAACTTACGATGAAATTCCACAATCATGTAATGGTTGTGGTGGCATCCAAAGTTCAATAGGAGTTCCACCCCAACTACTAACAATAAGTCCAATTGGTATTCCACCTAATTCTTCATGAATCATCCGACCATAAAGCCAACATACAGCTGATATGTATGACCATGAAGGTCCCCCAACAGTTTCTGAAGAAGGTATTGACCAATTTTGTTCTATATCTAATAATTCTTCAACTGGTATTGATGATGTTTGAAGTGCAGCTGTAAATAATCGTATTTTTGTATATTTAATTGCATTTTCTATTTCTATTGAACCATTGAAAATATCGCTGACGGTCATTTGCATATTTCATTGACCTGAACAAATCCAAACATCACCAAAATAAACATCATTGAGTGTTATTGTTAAAATTGTACCATTTTTTAATGTTTAATGAACATTTATTTGATTAGGACCACCATCGGGCTGTGGATCGAATGTTATTGACCAAATACTTTCACAGAATCTAATCCACTCATTGTGAATATAGATTTTATTATTCATTTCAAGTGTTATACTGCTATTAGTATCACTATAACTCCATACAACTGCTCTTTTTGGTGCTCGTTGAAGAACCATATGATCTTGTATATAATTTGCAAAACGAAATACACCATCACCTACTTTATTTCATCATTAGAAATATATGTTCGCCATAGATTTAATAAAAAACTTACATGAAATCGTATATCTTGTGAGTAATATCAACGAGAAAATGTCTTTTAGATTCATCTATACAATTTTTATTTGAGTTGTTTCTTATTCGTACTTTGAATATTTATAGACAAATGATAAGAATAACATTTTAAACACATGATGGTTTTGCGGCGGAGTCGATGGTAAATAAAAAGATATGATAACAACAATATATTTTCTACTAGCTTTTTTCAAAATCATTACATAAAAAATAACGATAAATATCGAATTATTATTGTTATCTCATTACAACTGAATTGAATTATCGTGTTATTTAATGGATTTTTTTCTCTTTCTCGTAGAGAAGAGTCAGGTGAGAATAAATTGTTTGTTTGTGCCTGTCCGTACTTTACTGATTGGTGAAAAAATAAAATGAAACTAAAAGAGGTTTCTTCGTATAAAGTTCGACTAAATAGTAATCGCTAACAGTACAAAATGTGATTTGTACGAGAAAGAGCTGAGTAAGTCTTTAAACGAATATTACTTGTTAAATAAATCTCAAAATATTGATGCGAATAACTGTTTTTTCGAAAATATATACTCGATAAATTGAAGAAGATTTTTTCAATTTCCCTCGATATTAAAATATGAATATTGATTTTATTTCAAATACAAGATTTTTACCATGAAATTCTAATTATATATTTCTTAATTTAACTTCTGTCGAATGTAACATGTAAATATTGAATAGATTCATTTATTCAATGAAATTCTATAATCAATAATAATACAGGTGAAATCATTAACAAATTATTCTATAATAGATATTCGATTAATTTAATTAAATTATTCAATCTTTTATTTTCAACAACAACAACAATGGATATTTATCCTCTTGTATATGTATGCTGAAAGAAAAGATATTCGCGTTCATACCTACATCCTCAAGATGTACGTGTGTGAGATAAATGAATATGATTATAGTCACTCTCTAGATGATTTTATTTGATTTTTCACAAAATTTTTGCCAATCAATAATGTTTTGTCTCATTCGTTGAGCAAATATACAAAAATAGTCTAAACTATTAGCATTAAAATATGATGAAAGTTGTTGTCGTCGTTTAATCATAAGTGAGAGATCGAAATCTAGTTCATATCGACGCTTCCTTTCTTCATCAGTTCGAATTGCTAATCCAATAAAACTATCTATAGTCTTCCAAGCATAGGATCCTTCAGCCATAGCTGTGTTCAAACACCATGGTCGGTTAATTAATTTGTAAAACAAGATTTCTGAACTTTGTAGACGATATTTTTGTGTTCTAAGAGATGTGGATTCTGTGCTTGATGCTTCTAAAGCTCGATAGGAATAAAAAGAATGTAATTTTGTAATGCGTTCCTATAAGAAATATATAGAATCAATAAGAAAAACATTCCTATAGCAGATAGAGAAACTTACAAGTTCTTGTAGAATCTTTTGATAAGTTGTTTTAAAATTTATTTTATTCTTAGATAGATTATATTGAAATTTTCCTGGTTTAATAAAACTTAACCAATCATTCATTCTATATCCATCTGTTACTTTCACCATAAGAATATTTTTCTTCATATCTGATGCATAACGAACTTCTTTTTGACAACGATAAGTTTGAGAATAACTATTACTAACACATACAATTATCCAATCACTATTATCAATAACCTTATGAATAAGACGATTAAATTTATTTTCAATTGGATTAGATTCAAACCATACATGAAAACCATCTTTAATCAAACAGGTTGACAATTGATGACATAGAAATCTATCAGACAATGAATAACTAATCATTACATGATAATGATCAGAAATTGTTGAAGAATTCAAACATATATCATTCATTGGAGTAATTATATTATTCCTTGTTGAATCACAACACTGTCCCATGGTTGAATATTTTACGAATAAATCTTAATACACAGAAATATAATAATTAGAAGAATATCGAAAGAAAAGTTTCAATAAAATGTAATTAAATGATGGTCAAGATGGTTTTATAAAGATTCAGAAGTCAAATAATCAACAAGACTACATATTAGAATCTGTTTGAAGACGATAGTTAAAAAAAAAACAAGAAGATATCGCGTTACTGTCACAATTATTTAATTGTCTAGATGTGATACTCTGTAGTATCTGGACTGATTAAATTCGATTACGAATTGTTACAATTGAATTTAGATATTCTTGAATCTATTTAAGTCTAGATTTTTAATGTCTTTACTGCGATTTAAATGATAAAGCATTATATTGTAACAATTATATATGTCAATCATGTAGGTTTATATTTTGACTTTCTAATAATAAAAAGTATGAGTATATCATTGTTATTATTGTTAAACACGTGTGAAATACTTTTATCTACTAGATTTTATATCAACAAATATTTCTATAGAAAGATTATCAGAGTTGTTTACTTGTTCTATAAAATATAATCGAAATAAATCATACGAAAGGTGAACAATTCTACATACTTAGATTTTATTTTCTCATCAAAACTGTGAATAATATTATAATAGATTACAATATACTTACTTCAAAAGAAAAAACAACAACAAGAACAGATTTGAAAAATATGACAATGTCTGTCTATGTAATGTAACTTGTTCTTATCATATAGTCATAGAAATCATTGATAATGAAATGGAGTAAGACAAGAAATTTAAAGGTAAGGGTAAAGGGTATTATTTGAGTTTCTATTTTTACAAAATTTCTATTAAAAAGAATAAAATAATATTATTGTTTATTCAGTGGATATTAACTACACTTCTACTTTAGAAAATTATTCTATTGAGTATGATGATTATTTCGTTGAAGAACTATATATTATATTATTTAAGTTTACATAAATGAAACTAATTAATTCTTAGTTTCATTTCTTATTTAATCTTTTATTTATTGAAAAATCTTCTTTAACCTACTCATTTCATTTACATAGAATAAGATCTTTTATTGAAAAATAGTCAAAAGTTAATTATTTTTTGTGTATCATCGTCGTGCGATTTGTTGCTCTGATGAAAACTTAGTATTTAATGGTCGATATCTACGTTCTTTAGCAGAAAAATATTGTTTGTTCGATGGAATTGACATGTGTAAAGATTGATTAGAGGAGAGTGAGTGGAACTTTATAATACGTCGCTAAAAAAATATATAGAATACATAATTCACTAACAAATGGAATAACTTACAAGTTCTTTTAGAATTTGTTGATAATTATTTTTAAAATCTAAATCATTATTAGAAAGTTGAAATTGAATTTTTCCAGGTTCAATAAAACTTAACCAATCATTCATCACATAATCATCTTCAACTTTTATCATAATAATTCTTTTTTTCATATCTGATGCATAACGAACTTCTTTTTGACATCGATATGTTTGAGAATAAGTATTACTAATACATAGTATTACACAATCACTATTATCAATAACCTTGTGAATTATACGATTAAATTCAAATTCATTATCAGTTGGATTCGATTCAAACCATACACGAAATCCATCTCTAATTAAATTAGTAGCCAATCGATGACATATAGATCTATCAGACAATGAATAACTAATCATTAAATGATATTGACCAATCGCTATTGAAGAATTCATAGGAATATTATCTGTATCATCTACTGGTGTAATGATATTGTCATTTTGTCTATAACAGCATTGTCCCATTACTAAATGTAATAAGAGATAATCTTTAGTACACAATTCAATAATCAATGAATTTGTTAGAAAAGTCAAACATATAAGTACAAGAGTTTTCTCGATTTATTAATAATTACAATAGTTTATTGCGTTTTCTTCTCTCATCAAAGCTTCATCATATATGAGAATTGTGAATAGTATTATGATAGATCATAATATACTTACTTTAAAAGAAAAAACAACAACAAGAACAGATTTGAAAAATATGACAATGTCTGTCTATGTAATGTAACTTGTTCTTATCATATAGTCATAGAAATCATTGATAATGAAATGGAGTAAGACACAAAAGTTTAAAGGTGTTTTGTGAGACTTCATATAATGTAAATATCAGTATTTTTAATTCTAATCTTCTCTTTTTTTTCTTGACAATAAAATTTTTTCTTATTGTTTAAAATATTGATTGAATAAAACAAATTATTTTTATTATACGTAATGCAGCAGATACTAAAGTAAATATAAAATCAATACACGATGTGAGCAAAGAGATGCACATCTAATATAAAACATTTCTAAAACAATTCAAATAAGAATACATTGTGTTAATACTAATTGATGTTTGCTCTATAGAACTGTATATACTATTTATTCCAATCAGGACTGATGTGATATTTTTATATTATTTATTTTTCAAAGATTGCATACAAGACACAGTACACGAGACATAAAATCAAGCAAAGTGTAAAATTAGATTATTATATAGACATAAAAACATACGACAGATGTACAATAAAGAATAGTTTGTGATTATTCATAAACAAGCAGATTGGTTATTTAAAAAAAGATAAACATCAATCGAATTTGGTAAACAAAAATAATAATGGGACAATAGAATCCAATGAATTTCTACTACATTTATATTGAGTATTACTGATAACATGATAACTACAACATCTCTAGACATCGAGTTGATATTCGAAAGATCAATTTTTTGTTAATACAAACTAATCTTAGATTTCTTCAGAATGGTTTTTAACAAACCAATATTCTTGGATACAACCATTAATTGATCATGACAAATTATTCCAAACTGATCGCCTGTCTGAACTCTAAAAATTATGAAAATTTCACGTTATCAAAATATCTCAATTTGTGATTCGGTAGAATTCTAATGGAACTATCATCAATTATCAAACAAAGGCAAATGTCAATATAAGCGATGTGAAGAGACAATATAATAATAAACTACTTATGACATGGACACCATCTGCTGAACTTGTTCGGTTAGTTGTGGTTGTTATTGTAGTAGAGATTACTGGTATCGTAGTGATATTAGTAGTGGTTGTTTTTGTTGTCGTCGCTGTTGTTGTTGATGATGTCGTTGTTGTAGTCGAAGTTGATGATGATATCGTTGATGTTGTTGTAGATGTGGTTGTTGTTGATGGTGTTGTTGTAGATGTTGTGATTGTTGTAGATGTTGTGGTTGATGGTGTTGTTGATGTTGTTGTCGAAGTTGTTGTTGTTACAGATGTTGTGGTTGATATCGTCGTTGTTGTTGTGGTTGATGGTGTTAATGCTGTAGAAGTTGTTGTTGTTGATGATGATGTTGTTGTTGATGTTGTAGTTGTGGTTGTTGTGGTTGATGTTGATGTTGATGTTGTAGAAGTTGTTGTCGAAGTTGATGTTGATGTCGTTGTTGATGTTGTAGTTGTTGTTGTTGTTAACGTTGTTGTGGTTGTTGTTGTAGATGTTGTAGAAGTTGTTGTCGCTGTTGCTGCCGTTGTTGATGTTGTAGTTGTGGTTGTTGTGGTTGATGTCGTTGTTGTTGTTGATGATGTTGTTGTGGATGTTGATGTTGATGTTGATGTTGTAGAAGTTGTTGTCGTTGTTGATGTTGT